GATCTGTTCAAGCCAGTTGTCCATTTTGTGAGGATTAGTTCAGTTAAATTTAGATTATATAACCCGTAAGTCCACTTAACGGGGCTTATATGAACTGCGATTCAGTGAAAGCAAGCCAGCAGTTGAGGGGCCACTGTCAGCCCTTCCATATTATGCAGCCCTACTTTCCCCTTGGGATACTTGCAGGCCATCCGTGACGTATGTGATGTATGGGCCACCTGTGTTAACGCGTATATAAAATATTTATATTGATTCCTGTCCGATTTTAAATTATGTAAAAATCCAAATAGTCCTAACATTTACTTCCTGTGTTAACAGAGGGGAGAGGTCCCCGACTCCCCCGGTTGCTAGTGGTGGTGGATTTCTTGTGATATCCTGAGAAAAAGAATTTTCTGAGACTTGCACAGGAGGATGCAATATTGTAGAAAGCTTTGTTTCTGTGGAATCAAACCCCTGAGATTCCAAGGCTTCATTTCCCTCAGTTTTGCCAAGGATGAAGTCCCATGTTGCCTTTAGCAGGGTTAAAATCAGAGTCAGTGTCCAGAATCTCCTTTCCATATCTGCACAATCCAGTACAGCATCAGGCTAGCTTAGCTTGTGTTTCCAGCTGCAGTCCATCAGTCCGTTGCTTGTGGGGTCTGCAATGTCCACATGGCTATGGAAGAAACATGGGAGAATGCAAGGAAGCCAAGAGTGAGCCAAGAGCACAGGAATCACGAGAACAACTACAAGAACAACAATAGAGCAACAAGAGAGAGACTCCCGTGGTTTAAGAGATTTGTAAAATTCCCAAATTTTCACATGCTTTCAGTGCCACACCCATTCTGACCANACTACAAGAACAACAACAGAGCAACAAGAGAGAGACTCCCGTGGTTTAAGAGATTTGTAAAATTCCCNGAACAACTACAAGAACAACAATAGAGCAACAAGAGAGAGACTCCCGTGGTTTAAGAGATTTGTAAAATTCCCAAATTTTCACATGCTTTCAGTGCCACACCCATTCTGACCAATGACCTTTGTTCTCAGGTGTGATTGACAGGCAAGTAACTTCCCTATGTCACCCTAGCTTTACTGGGCATGCATCTACCTTCCCCTTGTTGGATTCCTTCCCCCAATGTTTTGCAGAGGATAGGTTGGTGGTTCCCTGGGAAATGCAGAGTTGTAGCTTCCTGGGGAAGCTGCCCAAACTACATGCCTATAATGTCTGCCTTTCCCCTTCGATCCTTTCCTTTTATTAATAACTAGCTAGTTACAGTGCTATCACCTGCACCCCAGTGGACTCACATGTAATTAGCATCTAGGGTGCTAAGCACAAGACCCTTTCATCTGATAGGAATATCATTGGTCACTGGTTCAGGCATGGCAGATAAAAAGGCAGGGAAGGGAAAAGGTGATAGAAACACTGAAATTTCTCTCCTTGAACTCTTAGGGGAAAATGTTTCCAAATAACGTGACATATTCCTTTCATGTGGCTAAATAAATGCATATAGTTTTTTAAAAGTACAAAGAACTTTAAGCTTTGATATGGCAGTCAGGAAACATAGTTTGAGTTCTTGCCATCACTTAATCTTTCTGAGTCTCAATTTCCCCATTTATGATTACAGATTATAGTATATCTGGAATCTTCAGTTTTGAGTTTGTTTCAATTATGATATTGATCAATTAATTGATAATTTGGGTTTAGTACAGATAATAAGTTTTGTAATTTTCCACTATCAAACTAATAAGGCATATGTGATTATAAAACTACAACATACTGAGTCTGTGCTGGTTCTGAAAATAAGGATGTGAGAAACTAGAAGGCTTACAAAGAACTGAATCCCCAAATCTAACAGAGATCTGACACTTAAGGTACTTAATAAATGGTGAATGAATGAATGAAGTGAAATGAGTGTTGGAAATAAATCAAATTGCTTTCTAGGAAGACAATATAGGAATGGTAGAGTGAGCACATTAAATGCTAGTTGTGCTCTGCAACTGTCACCATGGGTAAATTTGCCCTCTAAAATTTCACCTCCTTGTCTATAAGTACTTTAATACTTACAGAGCACCAACTATGTTCCAGGTGCTGTACTAGATGCCTACTCTCAAGGTGTCTCAGGATATTGACAGAGAAAGACAACTGCAAGTTATTTCAATGAGAATTGGTAAAAAATAGTGACGCAAAGATAGGCAGAGCAGTTGCCTTGTCCAAACACACACACACACACACACACACACACAACAGTTGAGTCCTAGCATGGATGGTGAAAGAATGATAAGCTGTCTGGAATGGTTTAAGCAGTGAGTCAGCAAGTGGCACACAAGCTGATGGTAGGGTGTGGAGGGCACTGTTACCTTGCTAAAGATTTTTCATAGGTGGTGGGAAGCCTGGGAAGGTACATGGTCAGGATTTTGGTTTCACATCTGTAACTAAGGGGATTGTATCAATGGCTTTTGCCTTAGCCCATTTTTCCTAGGAAACGGAGCTTGAAGCAATGATTAAGTGCTGATACTTTATTGGGAGGTACAATCCTAGGCACTAGGAGTGAGAGAGAAAGAACGTGAGGCAGGGAAGGCTAGGAAGCAATGCAAGGTGATACGTTACTGGGCTGGCCACTGTTTCCTGTGTTTCAGATACATAACCGGTTGCTCAGCAGGTGCACCTACTTGGCCACAAGTGGACAGACAGTATGGAGAATTTCATTTAAGATGGCACCTGAGGATTACTCCTGAGCAGAGGTTTTAGATGACTAGGAGATATGCATAACCTCAGCTAGCCAAAAGAACCTTGAAGTCATTAAAACTCTCAAATCCTTATGCCTATTGGAACCAGGTACAGAATTAAAAGTGAAGTGGGCCAGCTATAAATAATAGACAGTATTGGGGACAGTAACTAAGTCAGAGGACTTTTGCCCTGTCTTTAAAATTATTTAACTTCAAAACTTTAACACTACAAGAAAAATCAACAAATCTGTGGACCAGATTTGATCTGAAAGTTGCCAGTTGGCATGCCTGGACCAGATTATCTTTAGAACATCTTCCCCATCTCTAAAGCATTAAATGCAAAAACTAATATAAATGAGGAGTAGCCCAGCATCTCTATGACCAGTGAGGCATGGTAATAGGCATAGAAGGAAATCCTCCTGAAAGCTTCAATGTGTTTTGTGTTTTAAGAGTGATGCGGTGGCACCCAAAGAATAAGGCAAGGACTGGACTGGGAAATACATGATCGAAGTGAGGGCGAGACCCTTCTTGGTCCCAACTTTATCCAACCAAAAGTACGATCTGAATTGTAATCTCTGTTCAATTCTCTAGTATCATACTCCTAATCTAGCCCAGAGATTCATTCACATTTAACAAACTACAGGCTAGGCACTGGGCCAGATGCTGGAAAGATCCGTAGAAAATGATATTGATGTTTTTCTTTTTATTAAAAAATACATGTGATTGGTTGTTTTTCATCATTGCATTTACTTTACTCAATTTGTTCCAGATGCTATTGACCAGAACTTAATTTCCATTAAAATAAGAATATTAGAGCCCTGGCCAGGCAGCTCACTTGATTAAAGCATTGTTCTGATACACCATGGTTCAGGGTTCTATCCTGGACCAGGGCACATATAGGAAGCAGCCAATGAGTGCATGGACAAGTGAAACAACGGAATCTCTCTCCCTCGCTCTCTCACTTTTGCTCTCTCTCTTCTCTCTCTCCCTCTTCCTTTCTCTCTCTCAAATCAATAATGAAAAATTTTAAAAATCAGAATATCAGGTAAGGCATTTGATATGTCCTTTCATCCTTTAGCGTTTAAGGAGACAGCATGAGAGTATGTTGAAATGGATGTTGCGTTCATAGAAACAAGGTTATTTGATATACATTCTAGTTTTAAGAAGATATTTTTCAGACTTGCCATAGACTCTAATTTCCTTCTTTCTCAATAGTTAGTATTTAGTGCACACATATTTTTCTGTCACTGACCAGAACGTTTCTTTTTTCTTTTTTTCATGTCTTGCATCTATATTCCTCTTCCTCCCAATTGTTTCTAGTCCCGACCACCTCTGCTGTCATTTTTGATAGGCAACAATAAAAAGTAAATGTCAAACTTGGTTCAATTCCTAAAATCACTCATGCTTAAAGAGATGAGTATGACTGTTAGCTTTGAGGCCCTCTTCATGGGAGTTTAATTTAAAAGCAAAACAATAAACAATAAATAGGGTGAAGAGTAAGGAGGAGCCAAAGGTTACTTTGTCCCTGATAGCTGACCACCCTGTTCGTATGTTACCACATTTATTCCTGTAATTGACTCTTTCCTGTTTTAAACGCCTGTTATTCATAGCTGCCTTCTTTCTCCAGGTTTATTGGCTTATAGTCACCACAGTATCTTTCTCTTCCAAATCAATTGATATTTTTATAAAAAAAGCTTGCAAGATGTTCAGCCCTGAGAGAGTGGCTTGTCGTCTAGGGGCTGTCACATTACAAAACCTCCTGGGACACTTGATGAGTCTGCAGAGGATTTGTTTGTTCTTTATTTAAATTTATGAATGTTCTATGAAACAATTGGCATGGTTTTAAAAATATAAAACTTGTGGCATCATTAAAGTGCATATTTTAATCACTGCTTTATATATTATTTTTATGAATGAGGGGGGAAATCACTCCTTGGTTGAAAGGTGACACAAAAATTCAGACTCACGGTAGTCTTTTTGTAAGCAAGGCCCTACTGACCTAGGCCATCCAGGGACTGGAAGTCCCTGCCAATTTATGAATTTGGTGACAGTGGGCAGTCATTGAATTAGATAAGCATGGTTTTTTGTATCTTACAGGAAATTAACAATTAGACACATAATTAGGGGCTGAATTTTGTGAAGACAGTCAGCTGACTTGAAAGACGAATCTTCCAGTGGTCCAAATAGTATTTCTATTGATTTACTTTTCACATCGCTCTGAACAGCCTGCACTTCCAGTGTTTGATGTGGGGGGAAAAAGCCACTTGCTAATTCAAAACATTTGTTTCTAGGTGCCAGGTTGACCTGTCCGTCCTCAGTAGGGAACAGACGCACAAGTTGGAATTGCAGCTGGAAGAGGGTGAGGGACACCTGGTGCTGCTGGTCACCCTGACAGCTTCGGCCACCGTCAGTATCTCTGACCTCTCCGTCAACTCCCTGGAGGACCAGAAAGAACGGGAAGAAATATTAAAGAGATATGTACGTATGTAAACCATCCCCCCTTGGGGTCATGTGTGACTAGATGAGGTTGTAAATAATTTACCTGGAGTGACAGAAGTACATCTGAAAAGCTGTCTGACAGGTCAGTCAGCAGAAGCAGAAAACTGGGCAAATGCAAATGCCACGTGTATCTTTGCAGACGCACTTGCATTCCCCACCGGTGTCTAGACACCAGCTCTTTTCTAGAGCCTCTTCAAGAACAAATTCTAGATTCTGAGATTCTCCTCAGTGTTTTATCAGGCAGCACAGTTATCACACATAGAAATTTCCCATAAAAGAAAATCAAGTTTACACAATATTACTTTAAATTTAATTCATTGACTCATTGTAATTGCAACTCATATTTCTTTTTCTTTCCAAGTTTGAAATGGAGTCGATGGCACTTACGTTAATTAGTAGCTTGGTAACTAGAGGGTATTCACAGAAATCATTTTTATTTTCAACTGTTTAGAAAAGCCTCACTTTATTCTTTTAATTTTTTTCATTGAATATGAAATACAATCAGACGGAAATCTCCTTACCTTTTGACCAAATGTAGAGAGAGAGGGTGAAATAGTGAGTCACTAGGAAAGTACCCTTCTCTCTTTTTACCAGATCAAAACATTCACTAACAAATCTACCTGTTTCCCAGCATCCTCACTCTATACATTTCCCACCATGTAGTTTTCTTGAATCAACAGAGAGGGGAGCTCTTACTCCACCATTCTCTCTAAGTGGAGGCTAGAAAAAGTTAATGCTTCAGTACCCATGAAACTGGGAAAAAAGCTTTTCCACCTAAAATGACAAAGCTTGTATTGTACGATGCTGCCAGGTGTTTAGAAGGCTCCTCTAGACACTCGGCTATGAAACCAAGCTCCGACTAACAAAGGACCACTTAATTTTTTTTTTTAAAGATTTTAAAATATGCCTATTTGCTGACTGACATCCTTTCAATAACTGAATTTAATAAAGATGTACCTTATCAGGCCGTGCAGATAACATGAAGTGCTGGTACTAATGCTCTACAATATTCTTCAAACAGATTAGCAGGATGTGCGCCTCAGCAAATTTATTCTGGCTATCTCCACTGAATCAGCTGTCTGCTAATGCTTGTACAACTCCTCCACCAATGGTCTTATCATAAACAGTTTAATGGAGGTGACTTAGCCAGGCTAAATAGTATATATTTTTAAACTACCTAAGAGCCTAAGGTATTGTGTGGCACCTTCTAATACATAATTGCAATTATGAAAATTATTTCACATTTTGGTACCTACCAAAACATAGTTTCCTGTTATCAGAAGTGATCCTCATGAATTAAAACAATTTAAAGGAATTAATGAGTATATGTATTAATATAAAAATTATTCTAGGTACTATAATACTGTATTTCATGGATTAATATATGATACTATCTTATATATTAGAATGATACTGCAGGCTAGGTAATTAGAAATAATCCAACTATTATTGATTCTTTTTTTTTTTTTTTTTTTTTGCTGGAATGGGCTTCCTTATATCAGCCATTTCCAAACAAAATTTGAATATTTGTTCACACCTTCTTTCAAATATTAGTTATTATTTCAGTAAAATGTAAAATATTATGTGGATGTTCCAGCTAATTCTCAGATTATATTCTGCTCATTATATTAAAAAGTGAACCACATTTAAATATGCTTTTTTTTTTAGCCCTGAATTTCAAGCATAGGCCTGTGTCTCCCTGTATAGACATACTTGCCAAAAAGCCACTGTATGCCATAGCACATGTTATAATTAGTCATAGCAATACAAGGACCATGAGGTATATTTTAGGGCTTCAGTGTTTCCTTTTTATTATATAGATTGCACAATGAATGAATGCTGTATCATGTCTGAAGTATCACCTGTTTAGAGAAAATATAAAGGAGGTTATTTAGAAAATTATTTATATGTTTTCCTGTGAGAACAAGTCTATTTTTTAAAGTTTAGATTAGACTTCAGAATTTGGTTGTGGTGAGGAAAGTAAATGAATTGCCCACTGTCTCGTATGAAAGAGCCTGCAGAGGCTTCCCATTGCTGCCATTCAGCGGCTCATTGCGGAGCATTGAAGCCCCACAAATTAAACAGACATTACTGTGTGAGCCATTATTTGATCACCACATTCTGAAAAGATGGCTAATTCCATTTTTCTTTTTTTCTTCTTTTTCTTTTGGGGGGGAGGAAAGCAGGGAAGGTCAATAGGGGGCGGGTAGTAATGGGTAGTAGACCAAGAGCGATTGTATGACCTTTTCAGGACGGGTATGCTGAACCCTTGCTCCCCCTTGTCACAGTTTAAAAACCAGAGGAGCTAGTTTAGAGAAGAAGTTGTTAGCATTCCATTTTTATTATGACATTTCACAGTCATCTGATTTAATGTCCCTTGACCGGATTGTCCACCGTGAGACGATGGGCTTGAAATGTTATTTAGAGCATTGATAAAAGGTGAGCGGTTCTAAGATGACAGCGAGTCATAAGGCTGGTGGTGTGACATTAATTTTCTCCATAACAGAGATGGAATAAGACGTCACGGTGACAAGCTGTCAATCAGCCCTGGCCCCTCAGAGCATCTCGATGCCATAGGATGGGGTATTGCCTCTCCCGTAATAGAGCTGAACTGAGATGCTCTCCCTGACAGCTGCTGCAGCCATAGAGAAAATATATTATACAGCCTTTCATTAAAAAAATAAAGAGGACTCCTCTCCAGAGCATTTCAATCTTTTCCCATCTATTGAGGGCTGAAAGGATTCACAGCAAATCATACATTCCTCTGCTATGGAAATTTCTGGCTTCAGAAGCCATCCAGGTTTTGAAGCCTTCTAAAATAACCATAAATAACAAGGCAGGAATACCTCTTGATGAAGCATTACTTAAAGTTTTATTTTTTAACTGATCTATTTCAGTCTTTTGCTTTTTTGGAATTCTTATCATAAGCGATATGTCACTAGTCTAAACAATTGAAGTCTGCAATAAATTACTGAGCGTCAGCTGATTGAAGGGAATGAAACCTTCAAACAATAATTCCCCCTCCAAATGGGAAGCGGAGCTCGGAGCGGAAGCACCGGCAGCCGCGTGTCTGTGCGGCGAGGTTAGCGGGATGGAGCGATAAGAAGCCTCCCGAGCCCGGTCATTACTGCGTTAGGAAGACAGCGAGCCTACGGACCTCTGAATTCTAATGCCGCTGTCTGAAGTTCCCACTGTTAAACCCTTAGTTTATAGGAGTCTAAATGGAGAGAGAAGTACCTTCTTATTGAACCCTGTCATCTGCCTAGCTTAAACAGTTTGGGGAGATAAACAACTGTTTAAAAACAATAAAAGATTAAGAGCTAATCCTTGGGCTAAACACTTTTTTTTAAAGTTAGGTTAAGAGATTACACGTATATCTGCATTTCCTAGCCTCAGTGTACCAAGGTCATAGCTTCATTGTAAACAATGACTAGTCATTCGGGACTGATAAAGTTAATATCGCAGTAAGATTTGCTCTCCAGTATTCTCACAGCTTAATAAGGGATGCAAATGTTCTTCAGTAGCATTTGAATAGCCAACTTTATTATGCAAAAGTATGCTATGTTCTGTGGTCATAAAGCATTTTAAAGATTATGATAAAGAAATACCTTTGATTTACTGAGTAAAAATGCTGATCTTGGCATAAGAAAAATGCTGTGATTTGTAAATGAACAAATGCATATAAAGTTCTATACGTTTATTTTACTCTAAGTATTTATGTCCAGTAATTAGAGTTTTGAATTGGTATTGGTATCCCTCTTTTAATTCCTTCCAGTACTACACTACCATTATTAATTTATGAAATAATTGGTTTTATATTTTGGGTCTGATTCTTCCATCACAATTTCTTTACTACTTCTATACTTGCTACAATGGTAAATAAAATTACAAATTTAAGAAAAATTACTCATCACTTTTGAGTTAGTTTTAGTGAATTTTATTTATTTTTATAAATATATTTTTCTAATTGATTTTAGAAAGAGAGGAAAGGAGAAAGAGAGAGAGGGAGGGAAAGAGGAACATTAATTGGTTGCCTGTGACCCTTCCGTGCATAAGATGATGCTCCAACTGAGCCACACTAGCCAGGGCCAATTTTATTTATTTATTTATTTATTTATTTATTTATTTATTTATTTATTTATTTATTTATCTTTATTGTTCAAATTGATTTATATTTGAAGTTTATATGTCTTCTACCTAAAACGTTTATAGAATACCTGTCTTTTAAAATAAATATAGAAAATAACCTTTCAGTAATTTAACCTGCATCTAGCACATACAATTTCCAATGCTCATTAAGAAGAAAATAGTAGAAAAAATAATTAATTAATTTAATGTTGACTTTCGTACTCCCAAAGTCTGAAGTATTATATTACCAACAACTTAAGATTCAGTATTAAAAAGCATGAGTCTCCAAACCATCACACCCCATAGAAGAAAGCTTTCTTGGAGTGCTTTGGTAAAGGACATTGAAGGGGAAAAAACGGATAAATCCTATTTTATAATTTATTGCTTACCATCTACTGATAATTGTTTATGGGGGGGAAATGTCCTGGGTTTTCTTATTCTTTCATAAAGATCTACTTAGCAAAAAGGTGTGTGTGTGTGTGTGTGTGTGTGTGTGTGTGTGTGTGTGTGTGTGTGTGTACACGTTCATGATGGTAGAGGGTAATCTGTATAGAAGAAACACAAATATCCTTTTAATCACTTAGGCAGCATCCTGAAATTAACCATAAAACTTAGTGTTTTCTCAGAACACTCTTTGAGACCCTTTAGGACCTTTCTTTTCTAATACTGATGTTGGGTCTTTCAGAGCCCATTGCGGATATTCCACAACCTGAAAGATGTAGGATTTCTCCAGGTGAAAGTAATCAGAGCAGAAGGATTAATGGCTGCTGACGTGACAGGTAAGAATTAAAAAAGAAAGAAACAGAGAAAGAAAGAAAGGATGCAATTATCCTATTGTGTGTGTGTGTATGATATAGATTTAGATAGATATCAACCAGCATGCAAGTGCAAGGTTTTTACCATTTAATGATTGAACTCTTCATTATTTTCAAAACTTAATGAATATGCAAACTATGTTAACCCAATTGGCCTATATGCCACAATGGAAGTTAAAGTACATGTTCTTTCAAAGCTGAGAAAAACAGATATATTTCTTTCCAATGGTTGTAATTTCCAAATATGTAAATTAATGTGAATAACAATAGCCTTCTTCCAAGGGATTCAATGAGACATAATTTTGATCTGATAAAATAAACATTAATTTGGGGAATACTAAACAGATTCTTCATTTTTTCCCTCCAGTTTTAGGAATATAAATCTAATGATTCCTCATTCTACACCGACCTTATAATCTAATGTGCTCTGAATTGAACAAGAAAGATGTTGAACTATTCAGGGGCAAGAGGATAATTCAGTCTTTGACCTTGCTCACTCTTGGACCTTTTGTGGTCTTTGTGACATTTGTGATGGTGGCAGAAACCAAGGAGCATGTATTTAAGTCAGAAACATCTGAATACACTACCAATTTTTAAAATAATCCTTACTTCTAGAAAGGATACACACACACACACACACACACAAACACACACACACACACACTGATTCTTCCTGGTCTTTATCATTAAATTTGGGGCACAAATCAGCTTTTCGTATGCTTCGTTTCTTACTTGTTCAAAGAAATACTTAAAAAATGTGTTGTATATCTCAGTGGATAATCATAGTCAGGCTCTACGAGATATTCAGCAAAGTTTTAAAAAAAGAGAATTGAGTCAATGGTGCTGTCTTCAAATCCTCAAATTAGCATCCATTTAGGAGCATTTCGGATGGAGATGGGAGATTTTAAATCACTGATAACTCTCTGTACTAAGTGAAGAGTATTTTCTGACCTGACATAAATGAAGGTATTTCTATAGGATGCTCAGTTGGCCTTGGAACATTTGTTTGTAGACAAGTCCAACAAGACACACTTATATTTGACCAACTTTGATCTATTTAAAAAATATTTTTAATGGTCCAAACATAAAGTTAAACTTCCATAATTTAAGCAAATAATTTTAAATTATAGTATTTCATCATTTAACATGAGCACAGGAAAAAGAGATTCTATAATCTTTTAAGTAGCCATCAATCTTACTGCACTTACAAAGAATTTTTTCCTTTCAAAATGTAAAATTTTTCTTTTGTTACAACACATTCATTGAGAAACATTGTGATACTGTATTAACTCTGTGTGAATAAAGAGCAATTGAGACTCTTTGAATGAGTGAGTATAAAGCACAAATTACTTTTTAATGAAACCCTCAATTCTTCCCTTTTCCACAAAAAGCCTATAGCCTTGTTCAGCTGAACGCTACTACAGTAGATCACTTCAGTTAAGCCCCTAATAAACTGTTGATAGTTGAGGGTAGTTTTCTCTTCAGTCTCAATAGCCCAGTGTTGGACAGTGCACTTCAAATCATTAAGGTTAATACAGATTTTAAAAAGAGATTAACTCTGGTGGTTAAGGCCTCAATTTACAACTCCCACACATACACATGCATTGAGAAGGCACAAGAGTGGATTGAAATTTCAGTCAAATTGTGGGCCGCCTTTCACAGCCTGAGAAAGTGGCACTCTGGTTTTCAAAGTTGGTCAGCTAAATTCTTCGGGAGGGAAAAAGTTTGATTAACTGAAATATACTGTGCAGTACAACTTACTTACCTTTCAGCTAACCAGTGAAAAGGTCAATGTCTCTCTATGCCATCAAAGCAAAACCTAGGGACTGTCTGGCCCTGTGTTCACCGGGGAAGATTCTCTCTACCGCTAAATCAAGTGCTCCTTGAAAGTAGATTGTGAGAAGAGAAAGGCCCATGGGGTGCGGGGGTTGGGAGGGTTTGTTCATTCATTCATTCATTCATTCATTCATTCATTCATTCATTTGTTCATTGGTGGTGGGAAACAGTTCATGTTGGAATTTGCCTTTTCTAGATTCTTATTCTTTTTCTTGGAAGGGTCCTAATTTCTGCCTTCAATAGAACATTTGAAGTCTTCTATATTGAGGGAGGCTTTCTTTGCAGAGTATTTAGACCTGGCTTATGGGTTCTTTCAAGTTCTAAGAGAAGTAAGAGAAAATAATTCTTTTCCTCAGCCCCTCCCCTTCACTTTCCCCTGGATTGTTTTTTTGAGCTCCCGAGGAAGAGGTCACCGCTTCCCCAGGGATACCAGCCACTCAGTTTCAGAAACTGTGATATGGGAGCACTGTGAAACCCTTTCAAAAGATGCCCTACCTTTTCACTGTGCTAAAAGGTACACTAATATAAAGCTTCTGCACTCCAGGTGAATTGATATCTTGAATTAATGCTCCATTTCCTTCAGAAAACAATAGAGGGGGAGGGAGAGAAAAGGGAAGAGAGAGAACTTTACAATTAACATAATCTGTCACTGAAATGGTCCTGTTTAAATGAGCATATCTTTTTATAAAGCAAGTCTCTGAATATAGACTTGTATTGGACTTACCAGCCCATAGTTTGGAAACCTACTAGTTATTAAGAGAGATGTTTACTACCCCTTTATTTGCATAGACTTCTCTCATGTTTTTTTCTTTAAGAAAACCGCCTTCATTGTTGGAAAATATTTAAGTAGCAAAACAGCAGAAAAAGACATGCTACAGTTTTTTGTTTTTTTTCAGCTTCGGTGAGAGTCTTATTATCTTAAGAAATAACAGTTAGCAGCTCAGATTCATTAGCAGAGCTAAATTTAAGCCCCATTTGACAGGCTGCCTGGAAAACATTTTGTTTTGCTGTCTGTGGGCTTTAATTAAGATGTGTTCAATTTCAGTCCTCTCAGTCTAGCCCTCCCCCCTCCCCAACTTGCTGTGTCACAGACGGGCGATCAGACACTTTTAGATGGTCCGGCCCATGACTTTGACCTTCTGCGCAGTCCAGCGTTCCCTGGGGAACCGTTCAACTCATGAGGTCTGATTTCACACTTCCAGGATGCCTCAGCTCTCTTAACAATGACAGGGAGACAAAGCCCTTTAGAGCAGGCCGCATGGGGACTTGTTTAAATTGGAAACCAGAGAGGAGTCAAGGAACAAGGTTATGGGCTACAGAATAGTGCTTTTAATAAAGAGCTCACAGCTCTGGCTCAGCTCAAAGAGGTCTACCTCTGTACAATTAATTGAGCCATTTATCTGGAGCATCTTAGGCCTCTACTTTCTCACAGAGTTGCGTGGTAAATATCAGCTAAGAAGCAAATGAGATATGCATGAAATGAATTTTAACACTTTGATTACTGTGCCTCCAGTCTTCATTAAAAGTAAATTTATTTGTATTTCTGACCTCATTATCAGTAGGCTGCCTGCATTTTTATTGGTTCCTGTGATTTCCAGCTTGAGTATGTCATGAAGGTGTATTTTATACAGAGATTTGGATTTATTGTTCTTGGTATTTTCCCTGAATATTATGGGTGTATTCAGAGAAAGAAAGTGAAAAGGTAGCTGCACAGAAAAAGGCAAGCCTGTTCTTTGAAAGTTTTATATACAGTTGGAGAAATGCCAAGCCATGTACATAACATATACATAATATTGTCCTTTAAAAAATTAATTTTTTGTGGGTTGCTCAAGCAAATTGCGTAAGACATATGCAATTGTTGCTTGAGTGGCCCTCAGAATACAGTAGGTCTGGAAGAAGTAGTCATGTTGCTTCTTTTATAGAATTGTAGCAGTGGGAATTTTTAAATTAAGAATTGCCACTTACTTAAATTGCCATTATCACATTCAATAACATTGATTATATCTGGTAAGTGCAGCCTTAGATTTTATAATATTATTAAAAATATGTTTTGGAAAAAGAGAAAATATATATCCTTTAAACTCTACATAGTTCCATTAAAAGTATTGTAATATATAAAATATAGTGGAAGTCCTTCATATTTGTAAATTATCAAGGGTAAAATTATTTATCAAATAAAAGGGGTTATGTGTGGATGTCATTCTTAATTTTTGAACTTTTACTATCTTAAAATTATATTGCTTGAAACAAAATCCTACATCTTACACAAAACGTATTGAAAATTGCCCCAGCAAAGTAAGCTTTATTTCCATTATATAATTTAATGTTCTCCCTGTTTGCTTTCTAATAATTAAGCTTGTAGAGAAGACTTTTAAGTAGGTAGTATTCTTTGAGAAGAAATTTCATCCAATTTATAGTGCATCAAAAATATCCAATAGTTGCCCGGCTGGATGTGGCTCAGTGGTTGAGCGTTGGCCTAGGATCCAGAAGATCGTGGTTCAATTCTCGGTCAGGGCACATGCCCAGGTTGAGGGCTTGATCCCCAGTTGGGGGTGTGCAGGAGGCAGCTGATCAATGATGGCTCTCTTATCATTGATGTTTCTCTCTCTCTCTCTCTCTCTCTCTCTCTCCCTCTCCCTTCTTCTCTCTGAAATCAATAAAGATATATATATCCAACACCTGACATTCTTAAATATACCTAATTTAGAAGACAACATCACACACATACATGTTAAATATCTAAATACTACATAGATCTCTTTCCTAAGAACAAGACTAACCAAAGAAGCAAATTATTGATTTTCATTCTTTTATGTCACTGCATAGATATAAAAGTTGCTTTAACTTTGTAATTGCATTTTTGAAAATCATAATCTAATTCTAGAAATGCAGAAGTGTCCTAAAACCAAATATTTGATATCAAATATTTGTGAAAAGAGGAATTAGAATGATAATTTAACACAAAGACTGGTGAGGCCTGAGTATGTACTAGTGTTTTACAGGGAATTGCAGAAATCATGTGTGATTCATATGCAGGTCACATGGTTGGAAGATACTGCTCTGGAAGAATAGGTAGGATGACAAAAGAGATTGATAATTGGGTTTGATATGCTCTAGAGGTGAAGGAC